CTAATTCGACAATTTTATTAATCGTGTCGTACACGAATTGAAGAGTATTTATGGGAGGTGGGGGAGTGGCTCAGTGAAAAGAGTTTACTTTCACCCGCAAGTGATTACGGGTTTAAACCTCATCACCTCTCTCTCCTCTATTTCCCCCTCCAAACAAAATATGAATGGTACCCACAGAAAATGGGAAAAATTACTTTTTTTGGGATTAAAAAAATAAATCCAATTGATCTAACGACCGTAAAAAATCCAAACTTGACTTGGATAATTTAATATCAAAGGATTAGGTCAAGAAAAGAACAACCACAACAAGTCTTTCCTTATAATTTGTTTCTTCGCTGGTCTTTTTTATTTGTTGGTAAACGGATGGACTTATTAAGAACTTTTTATGCCTTACATATGTAAATGAATTCTTCATCCATTACATTGTTTTTTTGGTGACCTAATCCATAATTATTGTTGTCTTGAATCATTGAATCTCTTGAAATGAATTGATTTTTTATTCCATTACTCTAAGCCACCTACCATATTTTCTATTTTTTTTTATCAAAAAAACTATTACAAAGAGAAGGTGACAAAGTTTGAATCCATGACATTAAGGAGTAACAACTTGCTAGTTGTTTTATGTGGTTGTTGGGGACCATACCCACAATTATTGCCGCCTTTAATCTTTGTATATGCTCAAAATGATTTGGACTTTAATTCTAGAAAGTGTAGATTTCAATAAGAGATTAAATATACATATATGCATACATATGTATGTATTTGTGTGTCTATGTTTATAGATAAACTAAGGGTAATTCGTGTCTGAAGGTAAAGTGTAACATAAGTGAGAAGTGATGGATTTGGACGAGAAGGGAAATTCAATGTCAATGGTTTTGAAAGGGATGTTGATAACTGTTGGATGAGTCTATTTGAGACCGTTTGATGAATTTATTAAAATATGTCATGTTTTGTATTATAGATTAAGCCATACGTAAATAATGGTGGTGTATCCATATTTGTGTCTTAGGCTACAATCATGAAGTTCTTTTTAAGTTTTTTTATTTTTGATCATAAGAAGTTCTTTTCAAGTTAGATACAATGACATTATCTATCTTTTCTACCTAAAAATCCAAGGGAAAAAAGCGAATCCAACAAGCACTAAGCAAAGAGGCATAAGCAAGACCCTGAATGTGTTCTTTTGGACCTTGAGTGATTTAGGTAATTTTAGTTGTTACTCACCCTTCTATTGATTCAATAGTTTTTTTTGTTTTTTGGGTCTTCTATTGGTCTTGTTGTTGGGTCAATGATGATTTGATAAATTTTAGTGGGTTTTCAATATGTGCAGGTTAGTTTGCTTTTCCTTAGGTTACTTTTGATGTGTTAGACTATAAATTTTGTTAATTCTATGTCTAGGTATGTACCTAACTGGCTGAGTGATAATTATAATCAATTTTCACATAATTATAATGACAATCAATTCAATTCAGTAGACATGATAATGATGCATGCATTTCATGTGGCTCAAATGTAAAAGAGAAAAGTCATGACCTGTGTACTTTTACCATTAAAATTTTTGCCTATGCAATTTTGTGACACCTACTAACTGGGGCTATGTACAGATCATTATGGAATGACTATTTCTTCCCTTTAATTTTTCCATCCTCCATCTCTTATGGTCACTCAACCATGAACTAATATTGTCCTTCAAATCTTAGTATATTTGTTTAGCTATTTCATTTTTCGTTCAAATCTCATCAGTCAAAATATAAACCACAACAAATGAACTTGCAAAATGATGACATAAAATGTTAACAACGAATAATTTAATATTATTTACGTGCAAACGCACGTGTACACTTACTAGTACACTAAAACACACAAAAATACACAAACATATAACAATAAAAAAACTAAAACACATTTAATAAAAAAAAATACACACACATAATGAGTCAAGGTCGATTATGGGCCATAGGTCGATCCATGGGTCATGGGTTGGCCCATGGATCGCATGCCAACCTATGGGTCACGGGTTGCGGGTCGACCGCATGGACATGGGTGGTGTATTTGTGTGTGTGTTTTTGGTATACTAGTGTGTGTGTGTTTTGGTGTATTAATGTATATGTGCGTATTTTTTAATGTATTAGTATGTATTTTTTTGGTATATTAGTATATTTATTTAATTTTATTACTTGTATTATTTGATAAAAAGATAAATAATCAACCCAATAGGTACCCATCTATAATTCATATTAACCCGCTTAATTAAAATAAATTATATTACGCAACCCATTTAGAATCCGCATTAATTAATATAGGTATCCAACTCATTTATTTATAGGCGGGTTAGACGGATTAATATGTAATGAGTTAAGATTGTCATCTCTAGCAGATCCCAATGATTAAAGTGATCCAGTATGTGCTAATTCAATGACAATAATGAATTAGATTTTCAAATTATGTTTCTAAATGAAATACATGTAGTATTATTGTTAGTTTATGTTTTAGATAACTATTATTTTTTATTTAAAAAAATTAGACTTATATTTTTCTCATACGACTTAAATTAAAATTGTTACGATGAGATTTTTTTATAAACATCAATAAATCACTATTACAACATAAATAATTAACTATTTGAATAACGCATCAATAATAAATAAGCATCAATAATAAATAAACAAGCACCCTATAAGAAATCAATCTTGACCTTAACAAGGGGTAAGTCATCCACCTACTAGTTGATAGAATCAAGAGTAACCAACAAGATTATGCTTGACAAGTTATTGCTGCAATGAGTTTTAGTAATTCGTAATCGAAATTTCTCCTTAACTTGACTTTCTTGGTTAGTGCTCTATTTTTCTAGCTTCTTTTTATCTCCTCCCCTCTATTATTTTTGTTAATGTGAATTGAAATTGAATCTTGATATTTGAAATGGTAATAAACTGGGGTTTGAACTTGGAAATCATAATATTAAAAATTAAAATTAAAATTGAAGAATTATAAATTAAGAGTCAAATTATTACTAACTACTCGATGATGATAGGTTTTATTATTAGCCCATTGCCCAATCAAAGATATTAAGTAACTACTCGATGACGATAGGTCATATTATTAATATTGTTATTTATATAAAAAAATATAACATTATTTTAATTTATCGTATCATTTTCGTACCCATGTCCTATATTTTAGAATTTCCGTGTATTTGCATGTCTGTGTCGTATCAGATACGACACATCAGTCCCGATCCATGCTTCTTATGTAATTTGTCTATTATGAATTATATTTTTAATTAAATTATTTGAACAATTAGATTTTAACAATTTTTTTTGATCAATCAGAGTATTCTTATATCTAAGTTCTAATAAAGTAGTCGCAAATAATTTTTTTTTACCGTTATATCACTCAATCTTTCATTTAATAAAAACATGACACATATAATATTTTATTTTATTATACTGCTAGTGTTTGCCCGTGCTTGAAGGTCCGGAGTAATAAAAGAAATAGTCAATAATAAACATATTTGTATTCACACCCAAAATCAAATTACAAATATAGTAGAGAGAGAAAAGAATTTAAGCACCGTTTATAGTGGGCTGAGCGGTGGTAGTGGTGATGGGAGGTGACAATAGTTATGGTCGGTGGCGACAACCGTAGTTCTGGTGACAACCGTGAGTGACAACGATAATGATGGTGCTGGGTTTTGGGTTAAGATGGTGGTACTAGCAGCCATGGGTGACGGTGGTGATGGTGGGGCGACGACGGTGGTGGGGGTGATTGTGGGCGGTGACAATGGTGGTGGTGGGAGACGACAAATATTTCTGAGCGACAGTGTGCTGGGTACTGACGAATGGGTGGTGGTGGTGATTGGTGTGGTGGGGGTGGGTGACACTTGGTTGTGGCAATGATGGACGATAACGGTGGTGGTGGTGGTGGGTGTGGTGACAGTGGGTGACAGTGACTGACAATGATGGTGGATGACGACGGGCGGTGGTGGATTGTGGTAATGGGTGGTGGTGGGCAACAATAATGGTGGTGGGTGCTGACGGTGGGCAACGGTGATAGTGAGATGATGGTGGTAGTGGTAGTGATAATAAATATAAGACTAAAATGACAAAGATAGTGAGTGGTGGTGGTGGACGACAATGGCAAAAACCGATGTTCGGTGGCAATGGTGGTGGTGGTGGTGGGGTGGTGACAGTGGGTGTGTTGGTGGGGCAGTGGTGATGGTAGTGGTGGTAGATGTGATTGGTCGGTGGAGATGAAGGTGGTGATAGTGATGATGGTGGGGCGATGAGAGTGGTGGCAGGTGGCGATAATGGTTGTGGTGGTGGCTCCAACAACAGTGGTAGTGGTGGTGGTTGTTGTGGCAAAAGTGGTGGTGTGGCGGCGACGGTGGTGGTGAATCGGTCAAGGTGGTGGTGGGGTATGGTTGTGGTAGGTCAGCGGAGGTGGTGGTAGTGGTGATGGTGGTGGTAGGGTGGTGGCAATGGTGGTGGTGGTGGTGGTGGTGGGATAGCAATGGTGGTGGTAGTTATGGGGAGGTAGGTATGGTGGTGGGGATAGTTGTGGCGATGGGGCAGTAGGAGTAATGATGGTGGGATGGTTTCAATTCAAACACTATATATATATATATATATATATATATTTTAAATATTTATGAGAAGTTCTAAGTTTTAGAAAATTTTTAAAAAATCACTCCAAACAAATCCTTAGAATCTTATTTGTTTTTTATTAAATTTGGGGTACTAATATTAATCGTCGGATTAACTTTAAAATAAAATTTAAACATATCTCAACTGCAAAAAAATAAAAATTATTTTATTTATCTTTTGAAAATTGAATTATATTGTATTTTTTTTTATAAATTTTGTATTTCAACCAAAGCGATGCTGGCAGCTTCTGCTTGCAGCATATTCTTCTCCTCATTGGGGTTCTCTTAAAAAAACCCATCTGCTCCAGCTGTTCCCTAAGTTAGCCAACACATCCGCACATTGATTTCCCTCACGAAGAACATGTTGAATATGACTTTTGCACTTTTCAAGACACTCTTTGCAATTCTCAATCAGAGCTCGATAAGGGTGGTGAAACTCAAAAGGTTGGGAAATGAGCGTAAAAGCTTGCTGTGAGTCCATTTCAATTGCCACTTTCTGAAAAGAGCGATGATATATATCCCAAATTTGTATCCCAAATATGCATTCCAAAACCTTCATCATACAGGAACTACAATTCAGCTTATAGGGCCCATAGTTCAGCTTCCAGGCTTCTGCAATATTGGGTGATTTTCCCCCAAAATCTTAGGATCCGTTTTCCTTGATCATCTCTGATAAGTCCTCCAATGCCAGCAGAGCCGGGATTTTCTTTTTAGCATCCATCAGTGTTCAATTTCATCCATCCTGCAGGAGGAAAATGCTATCCAATTAGTCTAATGGACTTGATACTCTTATCAGATTCACAATTAGAGAAGGCATTAATGGCTTCCCTTGACTGGTGCCATGCATTTCTGGCCACATTCAATGTGTTAGTAGTGCTTTTGTCAATGCACTCCATATTCCTGTCCTTCCATATGGTCCAGATGATGCATATGAAAATTATGGGCCACTGTATGTTTGTCCATTTAGAATTTCTTCTTTGATTAACATTCCTAATGAGCCAGCACTGAAGGTCCAAAGCCTGCTCTGGCTGTCTTTCTTGTCCATTGAGAAAGGCATTCCAGACTTCCTGGGCCTTTGGGCAGTCCCTTAGGATGGTGAGCGGTTTCATTTTGAACAATAAACTCATACACAGCTTTGGAGCTAAAATTCCCATTACTAATTTGTATTCAATAGTTATAAATCAATCAAATTAAAATTTATGGGGTATGATCAATTCTAGTACGTAGTACCGTAACCATATTTTTTTATTTACAAAACTTATCAGTATTAAGGGAAGGGAAACTTGAACTGAGGACCTCCACAATATAAGTGGAGTTACTCACCCACTAGGATAGTTACACTATTATTTTTAGTTACATTAAAATTTTAGAAAATATTATTTGGACTTAATTTGGGGAGTTAATTTAGAGACCTAATTCAATGCATTCATTGAATTAAATGGTGACACCATGTTATAACTATCACGTGGTGTCACAATCCAATTAAAAAACTACAAGTGGCAAAGTGAACCCTTCTATCTTTATAACTACCGGTAACCACCACATTTAATCATCAACAAATAGGATTAATATAGTTCACTTTATGTACTTGTCATTTTTTAATTAGATGGTGATACCACGTGGTGTCGGTGATGCCGTGGTGTCACCGTTGCATTGAATATTTTTTTGGATTGAAGATGGACTTCATTTAATATTGAATAATATGATTAATCTAATAACTATATTGAATTAAATCCCTGACAAGGTCCCAAAATTAAAAATCATGAATATGGGTTTCAACAAATCCATAGGGAGTGGGTTTGAAATCAACCAACCTAAGATATAATAGTAAGAAGACTTTTCTATCCCTAATCTACCCAATTACAAAAGGTTGGAAGGTGAATTTAACCAATTACATAACAAATATTTGGTTATAATTATAATTAATTCGTAGGTTCTATATGTGTATATGATGCTTATTAAACACAAATATTAAGCGTGCATTTGGTAACGTTTATATTTTTAATTTTTATCAAAGAAAAAAATAAACAAATTTTTTTTTCTTTGATAAAAATTAAAAATATAAAACATGTTTGTTAATTATTTATATTTAAAAAATTATGAAAACAAAAATAAAAAACATGTTTGATATTATACCAAAAATCCACCACCTAAAACCACCACTAACAACCACTCAAGCCCACATCTAATCGTTGAAATCCACCACCCACCACCTCCAAATCCCCGAAATCTATCACCCACCACCCCAAACCACCTAAAACCCACCACCCCTACCCCTAAACACCCTGAAAACCCCTTGAAAACCCCCACCCCCAAACCCTGAAAACTCACTCTGAAACCCCCCATTCTCTAAAACCCACCGTGAAACCACCTCTAAAAATCCTCGGTAAAACCCCCCACCTCCAAAATCGACCCCCAAACCACCACCACCCACCACCCCCAAACCACCTGAAATCCACTTATCTTCTCGTGCTCTCTCGACCACACACTCAGATATAACAATATATTTATATAATAAAGTAGAACGAAGTTTAAATTCAAAAGACAAAAAGAGGTACAAATCATTTTGAGACAAAACATAAACACATCCAACGGACAATATAACTCTAACATAAAAGATGGTTCAGATCATCTCAAAAATTTTGATCTAACGGTCTATAGTGAGTACTAAATTTTATTTTCTCGCCCAACAACATTGCATGATTCACGCCTCTCTCTCTCTCTCTCTCTCTTCAAATGCAGGGATTTTTGATCTTCTTTCCTTATCATAATCTTTGTGATCTTTGATCCTTATCAGACGATCTTTAGCTATTTCTCCTTTCTCTTCCAACACCATTGATATATTCCCCAATACTCAGTTGTTCCCTCTTGCTTGCTGCACTGCTCAGGTACGCCCCCCTCTTTCTCTCTCTCTTTCTCACACACACACACAGACACAGACACAGAGGCCACCACAAATTTTATTCAGCATTTGGTCACCGTCACAGCGCACTCACAATGCGGTCATCAACCGCTTGATTGAAACTCTCTCTACCCAATCGGTGTTGTCGAAACGCTACGATACGTTGTCGCACGAGGAGGCTTCGAAAGCAACGAAAAACATCGAGGAGGAGGCTTTTGCAGCGGCTGGAGCATTAGCCTCCAATGAGGAGACAATGGCATCGAGGTGTTACAGGTGTACTCTAAGGAGATCGGTAAACAGATTCTCGAGACTATGAAGTCTAGATCTGGTTTGGCTTCAACGCCGGAGAAACCTTCGGAATCATCGGAATCGGCTGGTGTGGATTCCCCCTAGCGGTGCCTCCAGCGAGGAGATCACATCTGATGTGACTGAGGCTTGAAATCGTTGATATGTATTGTTTGCTAGAATGGAGGTTTAATGTTCCCATTGGGACATTCCAAGTTTTAGTGCCAGAATCCTAGGCATTGTAAAGAGTATATAGAGGGCTTCAGGGGCTAATTGTAGGATTTATGTTGCATATTTGCAATTTTCTAGATAAGGCTTGGAATTTAGCTGTATCGAAGCCTAAGAAGGTTATCCATTGCATTAAAGTAGGAATGGCACTTTCTTTTGTGTCACTGTTCTATTACATGAGGCCTTTGTATAAAGGGGTTGGAGGTAGTGTTATGTGGGCAGTTATGATTGTTGTGGTAGTTTTTGAACACATTGTTGGTAAGTACTAAATTCCCTACTATTTAGTCAATTTCTATGTTCCTTTTGTTTATGTCTTTATTCATATGACAACATGTACAAAGTGAAATTGAATGCCAAAATTTCCTTGAGATTTCATCTGTTAGTTTGATTTCCAATTGTTGAAGGTGCAACACTCTGTAAATGTGTTAATAGAGCAACCATAACATTTCTTGATGGATCTCTGGGTATTGATGTTCATTGGGTTGCAAGTCAGTATGGAGAAAAATATGAACCCATGATTCTTCAACTCTCAGTTTTCCTTTTTGGTGCGTCGGTGTCTATGCTTATTCATTTTTGTTCTTTTTTTTGCCATTAGTAGTAAAATCAAAAGCCTCAACAAGCCTTAAACACAATTCTAAAAAATCACCTATCTTTCTTGCTGCGGTTGCAACAACTTTCTCTAGGTTTATTCCATCAATGAAAACTTGATTTGACTATGGTGCCATGATCTTCATCCTCACCTTCAGCCTAGTGTCCGTCTCAGACTGTCGTGTGGATAAATTGTTTGAATTAGCCCATTATAGAGTATCCACAATTGCCATTGGGACCTCCATCTGTATTACTGTAACCATGTTTCTATGTCCAACATGGGCTGGTGAAGAGCTTCACTCTCTCATCATTCGCAACCTGGAAAAGCTTGCAAATTCCTTGGATGGTATGGACATAAAATGTGTGCTCTTAATGCTATAATTATTTTTTGAATCATCCATACATTTGCATGGAAACATATTGGTTAACTTGAAATTCAGGATGTATAGTAGAGTACTTCAAAGATGACAGAATTGTTGATGTCACTGAGGAAGATAAAGGGCAGAAGTTGCAAGGATACAAATGTGTGCTCAATTCAAAGGCAACTGAAGAATCCATGGTACATTGTTGATGGAATCTTATTAATTATCACGTGGTTTAGAATATATGAAGTTCCACTAGCCTAATAATCACTACAACAAATTTGCCTTTTAGCGACGAATTGACTCGTTGCAAATATATAAATTTTGTCGCCAAAAATTTTCGGCGACAAACTCATTTCATCGTCATTTTGTTGCTTTAGGCTCGTTTGGGAAAGTTTTTAGAAACAACAAAAATTTCGTTGTCAAAAATACACAATAGGCAACAATAATTTTGTCACCAAACATGTTATTATTTCGTCGCCAATTTTTTGTTCGCCGCCAAAAAATAAATTATTTTAACCACATAAAATCTTTAGCAATGACTATATTCATCGTAAAATGTGAAAACTTTAGCGACTGTCTCTATTTCGTTGCTAAACATAAGTATACAAAATATTGGCGACAAATATATTTGTCGCCCAAAAAGTCAACTAGCATTTTAGCAAGGACCTTTTTCGTTGCCAAAAATGGTGAACAATGTTTTAACGACGACTTGTTTTCGTTGCCCAAAAAATGAACATGATTAAATCTCATTTGGCCCTATAACAATTTAAAAACAATTATAACAACTCAAAAACATTCTGACAAATTTCAATTATGCACTCAAGACAATAGATAATCCATAAAAACACATCACAATTACTAAAACATTAATATATTACTTAAAATAAAAATAACATCCAACAATTTCAATTGCATCAAACAATATCCAAAACTCCTAACAATTTCCAAAATTTTCAACATCTAATATCCCAACATCTAAAATCCGAACAACAAAATATCTCAAATATTTGAAAGAAAATAGGTCTGGGTATCAAAAAAGCGCTCTTTATAATCCATCTTCAATCTGTGACAAACACAAAAAACTCATTAACACATTATAGATAAGAAGTAAAAGAAAAAATATATAAATTTTGAGTTTATAGGTTAATAAATTAATATTTGACTAAGTATATGATAATAGCAAAAAAAAAAAAAACATAAGTCCATAGTTAAAATAGCTTACCAAGATAAAGTTGAATTGCTCGGCTCCCTAATGCCCCCACCAAGCTGCACTGCTAACCTCCCCTCTGTCATTTGTTGCATCATTGTTTCTTGCCACTTATCCATTTGCTGGAGTTTTTTCTTGGTTTCATCCAACTCTTTCTTCAGACTCGTCACCTCCTCTTCATTTGCAATAGTCTTAGACGTCTATTTTTAGGAAGGCTTCGGTCCAACCCTGTAACCTCTCTTATAGCCAAACTTGCAGCCAAGGACGGTGTTGCAATCTCCTTCTCAGACATATGTGATTCATCATCTTGTGTGAACTTGTCTCTTAATTCCTTCATCTGGTTCTAAAAGTTTAAAAAATAATTGATAACTTGTTCACAAAATGAAACTTATCAACCTTATAAATCTCAAATACAATAACATCAAGAAAATTTTTATACTTACGTATCGAGACTCAGCTTCTTGTGATATCCATTCGTTCAACTTCTTGCTAAAGTGAGATTCACGAAAGAAATCTACAAAATGAAGTGGCTCCTGGGTCTCGAGATCTTTCTATTTTAAAAAACTATATAGTTACAACACTTTAAATAAGATAACACACAAAAAAGGTATAAGTTAAAACACTTAACCATAACATCCATTGCAGATAGAAAAGACTTGAAACCCATAGCATGATTGTAGAGTAGCTTGGCACGATTTGCAGAATTTATTTTAGATCGTTTCTATATAAAAAATTTAACATAAGTTAGTGTAGGGACAATATCCGATTGTAAATAAAAACCAACAACATTAGTGATAAAATATCAAGTTTTACCTGAAATTCTGGATCCTTGAATACATGCTCGATTATATAATTTCAATCATTCTTATGAACTTGTTTGTAGGGCTCAGTTTTTGGGTCCAAGCCAGCATTCACCAATTGTTTATAGTAACTGTGCATCTTAGAACGATGGTCACTATACAAACAAGCAAACTTAGCTTCAATGTTTTCCCGAGCACGTTCTAACTCATCGTATTCGACAATGTCAAACCTTGTCTGTACAAAAAAATAGTACATCATTTTGAACAAAAACAATTATATTAATAACAAATATAATAAAATAAGTATAATTATCCAAAGACGTGCAATGATAGGGACATGCATGTCATCAGACAAATCATTCCATAGAGTCACAGTAATTGAGATGAAAGCCCTAGCCAAGACTCTCATCTCATTAATGCAACGTTGTGCATTTTTCCCGACTGGGACATTCACACCATTAGGGATCTCAACACTCAGCTTCCCATTTGCCTCCACCATCTTCTCTACAGCCTTTTCTCGCGTAAGACCTCGCCCCTTCCTTGAGGTCGACCCTAACATTACCAAAATATAATAGATGAATAGAGAAAAATATTTTAAAAGTGTCTAACGCAAATGAAATCATACATGTACTGCTAGCTACAATATGTGGACTGCGGCTGGTCGATGTCGGTGATGGAGATTGCACCTCCTTATGTGCAGTTGCAGATATAAATAAGACTTTGGGTCGACGACCTGGAGCCATTTATGTTTCCTAAAGAATTATGATACATGAGTCATTATGCAAATAAACAATTAGAAATACAACAACTACAACAAAACAAAATAGCATATCATTATGAAGAAAATTTGGTTAAACTATCTTTATATTCCGGGATCAACATCTGACTCATAATGACTTTCCATATCTCCTTCAGAATCACTATACTCTAGTAGTGTCTCATCATCACCATCATCATCATCATAGATGAAATCATCATCGACATCTTTATCTTGTATGTTTTCAGACAACATTAGTCTGATCGGGACAAGCATGGGATCAAATTCTGTCCTACAGAATGGGTGTGTATCATGAATTTCAACAACAATAGGGACATCCTCAGTGGGTTCTTCTTGTTGGAATGCATCATTTGGAATAGAATGTTCATCATCACCGACATCTACTACTTGTCGCTCCAGTATATCCCATATGCCTCGATGTTGGACCCATTGTACGACTTGCCAGTGTAGTCCATACTTGGTATCATTAACATAGAAGACTTGTTGCACTTGATTTGGTATGACAAATGGATCATCTTTATACCATCGACTTCTAACATCAATGCTTGTGAAATGTGAATTAACATTCACCGTTTTTCCACTACTAAGATTGAACCATTCACATTGAAACAAAACAACACGATGCCCAAAGATATAACTCATTTCTCATACTTTACTTAAATAACTGAAGAAGTTCATTGTTACATTCTCATGATCCCCTTCAACAACTATTCCACTATTTTGAGTTTTACGACGGGTGTCACGATCTTTAGTGTGGAATCGGATGCCGTTGGATATGCAACCCGAATACATTTTCACTGAAAAATCAAGACCATTTGCTAAAGACCATAATTCATCATTAACTTCAAGTGACCCTTGAGATTGTAGTTGATTGATCTACAAATGCATCAAATAAAAAAAATGCATGCATGATTTACACAATAAAATAGAGACTAAACTATGCATAATGTTACATTAAGAATTTGTCTTACTTGTTTTTCGAACTACTTGGAAAATTCCTATTGATGCTTTATTGTGACATCGTGTTCATTTTGCATTTGTAGTAAGTTCTTATGCTCCCTACGTACAAAATATGTGATTAATACAATGTAAGACAAGATCGAGGTATGGAAGGCATTCTCAAATATATAATGGCCAACATACTCTAAGTATGAATCTATCTCAGGACTATTATGCAAGACAAACCACTGAGCCATATCGCATTCCTTTTGTGAAACATCATATGCATTTCTTATTGGTCCAAAGGAACAAACATTTTGTGAGAAAATGGTCAATCCTGGAGCATGTGCAATACCATCATCGTTACACTCTTCTCGATTGAATACAGTTTCAATCCCACTTAGATACATTGAGCAGAAAGTAAGACACTTGTTCACAATATAAGCTTCTGCGATTGATCCTTCGGGACGAACTCGGTTGCCAAAATACTTTTTTAGAGTGTCAAGGTACCTTCATACAATACAAGTATAATTTAATCGAAGTTTAGAATAGAAATATTTATATCAAAATGATGATTACCTTTCAATTGGGTACATCCAATGGTAATGAACTAGTCTGGCAAACATAACTTCACGAGGCAATCATAGCTTAGACTACTCTAACAAGTTTGTCAACAGATGTGTCATATCATAGCTTTCAATAGTAGATGCCACAAGTCCATTATTTCAAATTCTTCATAGAACACATCTTAGGAGCCAAATGGTAGTAAAAGAGAGCAAAGTGGTATACCTCTTTCACTTCAGCTAAAAATGCAGTGAACTCTGGCCGTTTGTTCCTATAAAGCAAGAAAGATACTTGATAGAAGAGTGTACAAAAAAAATTCTTGTTAAAAGGTAACTATTTTCATTTATAAATTCATAACAAAACACAAAATAGAAATAATTATCATTGAACCCGCACAATGTTGATACCACCAGCAAATATCTTACTATATTCGAGGATGCTGGGAAGGATAGATCGTATACAAAGTTAACTTCTAAAATTTTTCACCAAAATACCTGCTCCCATATTTGCACCAACAACCTCACGGTTGTTAACCATTGGACTAGAAAATGAACCTTTTAACCGGGGAAAAAAATTCATATAACAATATGGGATGTAGGAACAGGCCACAACACAATGCACTAGGACTAGGGTATGATTTCCTAAACACACACAGGCCCTATCAGTGTAATTATGACTTATGATACATATGATGAAAAAAGTATTACACTGCATGACAGAAAAACAGCCCAGTTAAAGAAAACATTATAGGATGTAATAGAATGCCTGAATTACACTAGGTAATGAGGTTAAGATTGTGCCAGAAAATACTGGTTAACGGGCCAGGAGGGCAGTGTTATTATCTTTGTAGGCAAATTATACCTCAATCCAACAGGTTCCTTTAAAAAATATGGTGCTCATTAGAGGCACTATGCTGCT